GATCTTACGTGTTTGGGTAGATACATTTGACCTCCCTGCAAGGAAACATACCTGGAGAAGATATTTACAGCAATCTGGTAATAAGTAAGTAAATACACACTAATGTATATCCTGGCTCAATCCAACAATGAGGGGAAAAGCCCTATGAGGCATAATTTATGATCATTGAGACAGTTCCTGTGTGTGTAAAAATAGTTCATAATGATGTACAGCTGTTAATACAAAGTAAAAATCCAATGTTAAGGTTAAGAAGAGAGTTGAAACAGGAAAGCTGAGTAAAATGTGCTTAAAAGGAAACCTAAACAAAAAAGGAAAGTATCATTGTATAATGTGGCAAAATGATAAGCTAAACAAAACCCGCTTTGTGAACATAAATAAAATATAAATAGATCAAAGGTGTGAATGAAGTGCATCACAGTGTAAAAACAACTTTTGTCCTTAACAGACCCTTGAAACACTTTTTAATCAAATTTCCAGGCTCCATCTGTTCTTATAAACCAGTAAAATATAAAAATTTATAATTTCCCTTTAAAAATGTGTAAACCTGTTGTAAATAATAGATCAAATAATGTCTTAGCTCTGATTAATCATCTCTATTTTGTTGTGAAACCTGTATGTGTCAGGGTGAGCTGTGTGAACATGTGTTAAATACTGATTCACCTGTTCCTTTCTCTAAGGAGGTCAGCAGGAGTTTATCACCGCGAGGAGAGAGCGGGGAGCAAGAAGCAGTCGGCCGGAGAAGAAAATGTGTGGGTGGTCTGAGAAAGTCTTGCATATCTGTGCACATGCCGGGTGTTGACACTGACATCTGCTCCATCTGCTGCTACTTCAGCACCGACTCCACAGCGATGGAGAGGAGGATGTTCTGAAACTTGCAGGGAGAAGGATTAAAGGCGATGAATCTGCTCCAGTTAGAATCACATTCTGCTAAGGAAAAAGAAATAAAAACTACTGCAGCACATAAAAAGGCTGATTAACTCCTGAAATGATTAGCTGTTATTTCAAAGCCATCTTGCAGCTAAAGGTCACACTTTTCAGGTGGTTTTGTCTTTCATTGCATCCCTCCTTTACACTCTCAGGATATCATCAGATTATATCTGGGATGTTATTTTTTCCTGTATCTTCTCTGTACTGTAGTACAAAGAGGAGGATCCATCATGGTGTGGGCTGGTGTTCCTCAGAACCCCTTAGCACTTCTTTAACTGCTATTTTTACCTGTAGACATCATTACTGGCATAAGCATGTAATGTTGAATTAATAAACAATTGTAAAAAAAAAGTATGCAACATTAACCTGTAAAGATGTATTTTGAAAAGAAGGGAAATAAATAAACCAATGCTTGTCATAAAAATTGAACCTCACCTCTACAGCACAGAAGTTATGAAGCTGTGATACTCATCAATTTGTCATAACTCAGCGGCATATACAAATTCATTGGGTCTCGTGTCTTATTTGAGAAGTTCAATAAGATGTATAATTTATCAAAGATAAAACTGAATTTTAAAGATTTTACATGCAGTTAGCAATTACATACATCAGTAATCACATTAGGGGTCTAATCCTTACTATTTTATTCAAGTAAACAAATCATTAGATTGATGCTGAGCTAATGTAGAGACAGTTTTTAAAGGAATTAAAAATATATCTAGGCGGATAAAATATACCTACTTTTTCCTAAACTATCTCTATAGTTATGCTGCTATAGACCTAGACTGATGGAGGACATAGGAGGACCCCTTTTCATCATTCTGCTCCATTCTATCTTTATTCTCCCATTCTGCAGAGTTTGTTATTTCAATCTCTGATGTTATGCTCCCTCTGCTTTTTCGTCATAGTGATGAAAGTGACCTGGTCTCTTCCTGTTTGGCTGTGACTCCATCCTGGAGAGAATTATCATCTGTGCTGCTGTCATCAACACCTTTGTTTATAGATGTTGGAGCTTGGCCTGTTTTCCAGTGTAGTCCTGTTTCTCTGACTGTGATTAACTGTATGTGCTCTCTTTCATCATCTGAAATGGGAGCTGGCTCGGCACAGCCTCAGAGCTGGGCGACAGTTACCTTCTGTCTCCTTGAACCCCAGTCAGCCTTGGCAGATTGCCACTCACACTGAGCCTGGTTCTGCTGGAGGTTTCTTAGTGTTAAAAGGGAGTTTTCCTCTCCACTGTAGCTAAAAGCATGCTTGGTGTACAGTAAGGGATTGCTGGAGAGTAAACAAATCGATGCAATCAGCTGGTTTTTCTTAGAAAACTTTGTATGATCTGGTTGAATTTTCTCGTTAAAGTGACTTGGGATCACATGTGTTGCGAACTGGCTGTATATAGATAAACTGAATTGAATTGAACTTTATCCAAGACCTCTTAATCTCTGAAGGGGTTTGAACTGGAAAGTCAGCCTCAGACTGGTTGACATTCTGCTCTGTTTCTGGGTTTTAATATTTCTGGGGTTTCCTGATCTGGATAATCCAGAATCAAAGTTATTTACAAAAAAATAAAAACAAAAAAAATTCTAGTTAATATGAACATTGCTTCATCAGTTGAAGGAATTCCACTCAAATATAGGACTAGGCTTAAAGAAGAGTCTAATTTAACCATGCAGTGGACCCAACCAAACTATCATGTTACAATAAAGAGGAATTGGTTTTTATTAAGCTATACATGCTGTATTTACTTTCACATTAATTCAGATTATGGCTCAGCACAGCTCTTCTCTGCATGTATTTTCTGTCCTATTTTCCTATCCAGATATAGTCATCATCGATGAGCTTTTAACCTCCTGCTTATTAATGCAGAGTGTCTAAAACTTCTGCCAGAGGCTGTTAATTAGACTGTTATATAGGATTTATTAGTGCATTACAATAACTGAAGGAGAGGGTACTGAATGTGCCTGTGAAAGGCTTTTACTCCGGAGGGGACGGCATTGATTTCAAAATGAAAATGCTACATGTTTAACTTTGGTCAGCTGGGGGAACAAAAAGAACAAAAGTTCATGTACTTGAGGAACAAACGAAGCAAACATGATTTTATACTTGTGCAACGTGCTGAGAAAAAAATATTAGTTTGCTCAGGCTGGCAGAAAAAAATCACTGCTCCTGATGTGTGGAAAGAAAACAATCTTCCTCTGCTGCCTCTTGTTTATTCTGGAGCCTTAATTTAATAAGATGCAGAGAAGCATAACAAACAAATTCTTCTCCTTCACATCCTCTCAAATGAATCTCCTTTCCCTGCGTCTCAGCATTTCAGCTCATGCTCCCTCCTTAGTCGTCTTATCATCAAAGGTAGAATCCGCTGTTATAATCAGATTCAGAGAAGTCCCAGCTCTGATAAGCCTGTTGGAGACCGGTGACCTCCTTATCGGATGCGTCAGAGTCCCCCCTCCTTCATTGTGTAAACAACAAGCTGAATGGAAATGTCTGAAAACCTCACATTATCACTCATGTTTGTAAAGGTTTAACTGTTCTACCAGACTTAGAGGCTCACAAAAATCTGTTAGTACCTCCTGGAGATATTTTTATGACCATTGGAACTGTATTGAAAACTGGGTCTGATCCATTTTCTCATTTGGAAAAGTTTTTTCTGAGGAAAGTTAAAAAAATAAAAATGTCTCTCCTTTTTATTTAACTGAGAAAATCCCTTTACTCTCTTTGTAGTTCTTTTGTTGTTGTTGATATTTTATGTTGCAAAATGAAACCCAAGAGCCTTAATGGAGAGAAAATGCCACTTAAAACAATTGTTCACTTCAAAAACTCTCATTTGGTGCCAAAAAATGGCTTCAAGCTCATGATACGGGTCATGATTAGAATATAGTTTGTTGTTCCGTTGACTCAAACACCAAAGACAAATTCACTGCTGTAGCTAATAATGAAACTAATTATCAATTTAATCGATAAAAGTCATATGTGGACATCAACAGAGGACAAAACATTTGATCATATTCTATCAATAGAGAAACGTAATGCTCACAGACGTCTGCAAACACCTAAATGCTCTGGCTGCTGACTCTGCTAAAGCTATTCGTTGCTACAGTGGAATGCCAGACTTCATCCTTTCTTTGGATTTTATCTCCCTTTAGAGTCCAGATTCAAGTCATTTCATAGACTTGGGGGAAAATGGGTTTTTGATGGTTGTGATGTTTTCTGTAAACCTAAATCGTTTCCTCTACTCTTTTCCCATGTGCTAAATAAGCAGACACACATCTGTTCAGAAGAATTCTCTATAAAGGTTTTTTTCTTTCATGACAGTTATTAGCGGTTCCAGGAGGAACATTATATTCCATATTTGGACGTATTGGACATAAACAGGCAGATACTCGTAGGAACATCTAACACTCAAGGCATTACTATATGGTGAACAGATCCAAACACTTTTTTGTTTCCATCAGATTTTTTTAAATTATCTGCTTTGAATATCAAAGTAAAATGACTGTTTTTGTAAAATATAAGTGTTTAATAGAACAAGTCACCTTATCTGGGTGAACCTGAAGTCCTTAGAAAATGAAAACTACACAAAATATAAACACTTATAGTTTTTCTAATTTAAAGTTAATACATACCGGTAAATACTAAATATTAGCTTATTTACTTTTACTTTCATATAAATCATTTTTAGGGTCATACTCATACTAGGTTTCTCTCTGTCATGCTGTTGCTGACATCCAGGAATCAAAAGCACCAAACAGAGAATAAGCCTCCGATTTCAAAAACACAATTTTACAATAAAGTGTTGCTTTCACATTTTAACTTAAATATAAAGAGACTAAAAGTAGATCACATAAAGATGTATTGGAGGCGTGCTATGAATAATCTTCAAAAAAAACAAAGAAATGTTATTTTAAAATTATTAAATATATGATTTCTCTTCTTTATTAAAAAATATTGAACGTAAGTTTCTGTTAAATAATGACAACTTTGCTGTAATCAGGCTCTTAAGTATTTCATAAAAATCTAGAAAGATTTACTAAACAAAAACCAAAAAACCTAACTGGATAAAAAAAAATTCAACATTATTGTACACCAAATTATATTTATTAATGTTTTGACAGAGTAAATAAATAATCGATTTAAACAGGAGTAAATCAGACAAAGAATAACACAAACACGTCATTTTAATACATGTAAAAACTGACACCCACAACATTATACTTGGAAAATCTTTTAAAAATACTGTCTATTATTGTGAGGTTACAGTAAAATGAACATCTGACCACAGCCCAGCCTCTTCTGAGGTCCTAAGCCTTTGTGATGTATCCTTCTTTGATGAGGAAGTCGTAGATTTTCCTTGTCTTGTTGACGTCGATCTTGATCAGAGCTCGGGCTTGGGCCAGCCGCAGCCCGCCCTGCCGCCGGCACTCGTTGAGTAAAGCCTGCTTGTACTCCAGGTAGGCTCCCGGCACGAGTCGCACCACCTGACACAACTACACAAGAAAGAGGGGATTTAAGACATGTCCTTTTAAGGCCTAATCAGCAGACAATAGAAGCTTGTATTTTCTAGATTTACTTGGTTACATTTTACTGTTTTTCACAGTAAAAGAATCCAGCTGCAATTAATATTGACCCAGGAACAAAACAAAGAGCCAACATCATGCTGAGTCTAAACATGGCAAATAATTAATAAATAATAATATAATCCTGTGAGACAATGGATGTTAACCTTTAATCTCCCTTATTAAATGCCCTTTAATTGTTCTGCAGATGAAATTGAGGTTTATATGCTATTTAAACGAAGCAGTAGTGATACATTTATGAAACAGTCGGGGTAAAATAAATCTTTTAAACTTTAATTAAATTTATCCTAAAACTAGTTAAACATTTTCTATCTAAGGAAACTGCATTAAGTCACTGACTGCTGACTCTGCCATGACACATCAACATTGACATATTACGTCATTTTGGGCTTCCACACCCCTCCGTGTGAAAAGTCTGCACAGAACACCTAGGAAAATTTGTAACTACACGGAGCTTTAAAAGAAGGAAATCACAGCAGAGCATTTAAAGTGGGATCACAAAAAAAAAATACTAGGAATATACAACAGAAGGCCTCAGCATCTACAGCAGCCTGAATGTCTGTGCAGGAGCTTCACAGCTGTACCTCCTTCTCACGCTCGTTGAGCTTCTCTGTCCCTGGAAGTCCAGTCAGGTTGAGAGGAGGGGCGCTCCGTCTGCCTGTTGCTGTGCAGCAGAAATGAAATAACATTTAACAGACAATAAAAAACCACTTTGAGCACCAGACAACAGACTGTTAACTGTTATGGGAGCAAAACATTACAGAATGTCTAATGGTTATAGTGTACTACGCTGATAAATAGTCCTCTTAGTCTTTAGACCTAAATCCTACAGAAACCAGTGGTGAGCAAACAAGTAAAGAGCAAGAGAGAATAACTAACTGGATGGTCTACAGAGACTTCACTCAATTATTATTCAATAAGAAATGAGAAGACAAGGATGACTGGTGCACTACTGATTTACTTAGAAATGATTATTTCCTACCTATAGTCTAGTGCAGTATAGTGCTCTGTAATATGGTACAGTGTAGTATATTTTTTGTATAGGCTAGTGTAGTATAGTATAGTGTAATGCAGTATAGTTCAGTGTAGTAGTAGTTTTTTTTTTCAGCTTTTATTGTCATTAAACTGTCACAAGTACAGAGCAACCAAATTTACTCTCTGCATTTAACCCATCCCCTTGGGGAGCAGTGGGCTGCCATTGTGCGGCGCCCAAGAAACAGTGTGAGGTTAGGGTCTTTGCTCATGGACCCAGAGTGGCAGTCTGTGGGAGTGGGGGATGGAACTCAGAACCTCAGGATTCCAAGCTCTATGCCCTAAACACAAGGCCACCACTCCCCCTTTATTGTAGTATAAAGTAGTATGATGTAATATAGTGTAGTGTAGTGCAGTATAGTCTAGTGTAGTTTGGTATAGTGTAGTATAAAGTAAAAAAAAGTAGTATGGTGCAATATAGTTAAGTATAGTGTAGTGTAGTACAGTATATTGTAGTATAGTTTAGTATTGAGCAGTGTAATATAAAGTAGTATGGTGTAATATAGTATAGTTTAGTATAGTGTATTACAGTATAGTGTTAAGTAGAGTATAGTATATTGCAGCATAGTCTAGTGCAATGTAGTATAAAGTTGTATTGCAATATAGTGTAGTTTAGCATAGTGTATTACAGTATAGTAGTGGATAGTGTAGTGTAGCATAGTAAACTGTAGTATAGTTTAGTATTGTGTAATATAGTGTAGTTTATTATAGAATAATATAGTGAAGTATATATTATTATAGTATACTGGATGAAAAACTTTCCCCAAAATTCTAAAAAAAAAGAGGAAAAGTTTGAACACAGAAGCATTTTGCTAAGTCCTGATCCAATATGGGTGTAGGAATGTCCAATTTGAGAAATGCTACTGAAGGGAAATTAAACTATTTTTAAAGACTTAAAGAGTAGTATAAATATGTATGAAGAAGTGTATATTTATACGTATTAAAGGAGAGATCCTTTACTCTGACTGAGCCTTGGGGCCATGCTAAGAAAACACAGAGGATGGAGCACAGAGGAATACACACAGAAAAACTAGTTACCTGAAACTGTGATTGTTGTGACAGCTGGAGTGACGCCAGCATCTCTGTATAAAGAAAAAAAAAAGAGAGAGAAAAGTATTATTATCTCTGCTGCTGTGCTGTGCAGACACACATCCCACCTATAGGCAGCATCTCTGGGTTTTTCTTCACTACTCCCAGCTTCACTACTCTCACTCCAGAATGTCATCCAAAAAGATGAATCACTGTTCAAGAGGTTTTATTTTTAGGTGGAACTTGGATCGCAGCCAGAGAAAATGACGACGATAAAAACAACACTAACAGCTCGTGTCAAAGAGGCAGCGAAGACTGATGCAGGAATAGGATGCACTGCATAACAAATGCCTGCTTGATTCATCTCAGCATGACACAGGTCAGCATCTCCTTGGAGCGCTGTTCCAGCGGTCTGTCTATTACACGCTGATCAACAGGCAGACTGATGGGATCCTCACATTGCTGCCTGCTTGCTGAGCCACTGCTGACATGCTCTGCCATCCTGAATGTACTGCAGAACATCATTCAACATGGTCCTCTTCCTCCGCTCATCCTCACGCATCCTCTTCACCCTCTCGTACACCTTCGCACCTGATGCATTGACAAAGACATGACATGTATGAGAGAGGTTTTTTAGTACAGCAAACTATTTTTATTTTAAGAGGAAAAGAAATTTGTGAAAAATTCATACCTTGTTACAAGAACGATTAAAAGATAAGACTAAATTTAAGGTTTCATACCTTATTCTTCTGCTGACAGTTTTCTTACTTTTGGACTACTTATAATTAAGTTGTCTCTTAAAGTTTATAATAGCTTTTAATAGAAAACAACAGGCTGATACCATTTCAATAAAAAGACATATGTGGTAAATACACAAGTCCTCGAAGGCCTGAATCAAAAGATCGATCAAACAGCTGAATTACTTCTTCAGCATGGAGTCCAGTTCTACTGAAACCTGTTAATGACATCATTACTTGATTCAGGGAAACTGAGACAAAGAAGAAAGTGGACTTCACATCACTCAAGGAACTAAACCAGCTGTTAAAAAGACACTTTGCTGGCCTTTCAAGTACTTTCAAAAAACACATTCACTTGAAAAAATTGAAATCTAAATAAGTAATTTTTTCTTAAAATAAGTGCATTTGTTCTTGGATTGAGGAGGTACATTTTGCCAATGGAACAAGACAATTTACACTTAAAATAAGGAAATCACAATTGCATTGTCTTAGTTCAAGTGCATATTCTCTAATTATCTTATTTTAAGGCTAAAAATACTCATTCCATTGGCAAACTATGTCATTTACGAACTCAAATTAAGGGCAAATATACTTAATCTAAGAAAGTTTTACTTGTGTCTAGATGTTTTTTTCCAGTGTTCTTCATCAAAATAAATCAGGAGTTCATAGAGTAGATTCCACATGTAGGGAACTAAAGCAGGGCTAAAGGCCTGAACACATTGGTTGCGTACCACTTTTTAATCTCCGATCCGATATTTTTCGATGTGACACAGACTGAGTATAGAGGCTCCAACTGTGCAGGGTGGGGAGATCTGTTCAGATTTTATTTTTCCAATTCTGTCTCTGTGCCACACAAATTAAAACAATTTCCCACATTTGATTTGGACAGATTATGAAACGTTATAAAAAAAAAAAAAACAACCGGCGCAGCTATAAAGCAAAGACCCACTTAAAGAGTCAGTGCAGCATCTCAAACCAGAACAGATAGAGAATTTGTATAGGCTTATATTAAAAAAATAATGGGATCTATGTTTAAAGAAAAGGAAAATGCAGCAATAAAGGCTTTAGGACGGTTTATATGCTGGCTGAGGCAGTGAGAGGAATATTGTTAAAGAGAGATCTGTGAAGTTTGTCAGAGTTTTTGTTTGTCTTTTTTTTTTTCTCCATAGAGTGGAGAATGACCAGCTTTGCTCACCTGCTCTGTCTGCCCATCGTTGCATTTTTGTAATTTCCCCCAAAGCGGATGTGTTTTACTTTGTAACTTTCGCAACTCTGCTCCAGACAGACCCATGAAATTGCTGCTGAATTGTTGCATAGTCCGACTAAAATAGACCTGGGGTCTAAGTCCCCTTGCAGAAAATCGTGAGGGGTGTGATCATCCCCATTGATTTTCGATGAACGCTAAACGCCACGACCTCGTCCGAGATGCTGTCGAATCGGTCGCAAAATCCAATTTGGTGTGTGCTGCCCTTAAAGTGATTAGACTGTCCTTCAAAATAAATCCTTTTTTAAAATTGTTGTCATTACAAATGTACCTTTACAGACTACAGCTCATTTCTAGAGAAGTAAACCCGACTTAAAAAATACACCATGATGTATAACAGTAGAGGAGGGCAATAACAGGCTGTTGCTCCTAAGCTGAACCTTAAAATTTCCAATCATCCCTCTATCACTGTAAAACAAGCTTGACACATATATAAAAAATATCTCTGATGTACATATAAAAGTTTTTTTTTTTTTTTTTAAACATGAAAGTGTTGAACTTCAACTCACTGCAGAAGGATTTGATTCCTGCTTTCCTGTATTCCTGCAGCCTGCGGATCTCTCTCCTCAGCTCAAACTCAACTGGGAAATGAAGGAGTTAAAAGTTGTTAAATGCATATCTGCAGACTGTTCCATGGACAAAACAACTGAATTAACTCTTCATGCTACAAAATGTAAGCATATTCAGAGGCATTTTACAGGAGCAATCAAAGTTGGTTTGTTCAGTTAGATGAGTCTGATGTTTATACATGTTGTACAAAAAGACATATCTGTTTGTTTTCCTTACTGGCCATCATTACATAAGATTAAATTCTTCTAGTTTGAGATCAATTAAGGAAAAACATCATCTCTATTTTTTCATTACATCCTTTAAAGTCATATATCTCTGGATATTTCATTATTTTTTGGTTTATTAGTCTTTAGACCGTGTGGGTTTGTGAAAATCCTTGTGATATTCATCCAACTTGCTCTCAGCTCTGCCCTCCAACTTTCAACAGGTTAGCATCTTTGTTGCCTTTAAGTCACCTGGCCTACATTGGCTGTCTGATCAGGGTTATCATCCATCTTCTTCCCTGATGTCTAAGCTTGTTGCTTCAGTGTCTCCATAATGTGTGAATTCTTCACCCTTTCCACCAATCTGTGATGCACTTCAGTCACTACTCTTATTTAAACACTCATTATAGCCAGATGCTTTAATTTAATACTGAGAGCACTGCCTTAACTAGCTTCACCCAGCATGTATAGATGGTATTTTCTTTTTGTTCTCCAGTTGAAGTTGTCATTTTCCACCAAAGCAAATTGATCTTTGAAGCTCAGAACCCGTCTTAATCCAAAACGGTCAAAGGAAGGACTCAAAGCATCAGATGAAGGAGATCAGATAAAGACGGGGTGTCTGGTGTCACTTAATGGCAGTAAGAAATCTGCATCTCCCAACATAAAATAGAACATTTTCAGTCTGGGAATCTTTAGAACAAGAGGCAATCAGCCCTCCAGTGTCTGTTCATAAAACTCAGACAGTATCACACATGCAGCACCTGCTGAGGATTGAGACACCCACACACTCTGTGAACAGCAGAGACAGAGAGATAGGGACGTTACAGAACTAAAACTGTGTGTGAAAGGCAGCAGGCATGGCAGGTCATGCCACACTAGACACCAATACTGCTGTGTAACATGTCACGCCTTTGATTGCTGAATGCAGACATGCCTGCAGGACGCAGGCATGTGTTTCAGCACAGTGACATAATCTCTGGTTGGTTCACCCTGCACAAATAAGGGCTCAAAGATGTTGAATGCCTATAGCACAATATCTAGGGCAACAAGTTTATAAATGTGAGTCTTTTGTAGAGCCAGATTTAGTTGTTTTCTTGTAAGAAAAACTTCAAAAACCCACCAGAAACAAAAAAAAAAAAAAAAACTATTCAGGAAGTCTAGTAAGGATGAAAGAAAGATTCTGGCTCCTGAGAAGTGAAATATAAACACAGCTTCTAAAAACAGAAAGCAGTAATGTCACTTACATCCTGTTAGAACAAAACCTACAAGCAAGCTTTACACAATCTGGCTAGATCTTTGTAGAATAAACTCGGTGCATGTTTGCGTGTTTACATGCTAGATGCTCTGAGCCAATACTAACGTGCGTGGCCTTCGATGAATTTGTCATGTTCGGTGGGTCCAACCACTCTGGCAAATCTTCTCATAACATCATAAAGCTCCTGCACCTCCTTCGGGTAACATCGCTCCAGCACTAAAAACAGAGAGGAAAGGAGTGAGTGGGCAGCAGGTACAGACGGATATAACAGAGACATGAAAGTCGGTTAACCTACGCACTTATCGGCTGATACCCACACAGGAAAATAAAACCCAAAGCCAATATCGGCCAAAAATATCGACTGGCTGATTTTTATCTCTACTGTCATCAAATACGCTTCAGGTCATAAATTTAAGTCCAATCATCATTGGCACTAAATATAAATTTTTTCCCCCCCCAAGATGTAATAAATGGGTTAGCTTCAGTGTTTTTTTTTTTTCCAAGAATAAAACAAATGTTACATTAAATAAATAGCAATTCCCTAAAGATACAAACCATTAAGAAAACCTAAAAGCGTTGATGATGATTGTGTATAATCTCTAATCTACAAAGTGCCAAATTATACATTATTATTAACTTTAGGATATTTGACCATTTTCATTGGTTGTATTGTTGGGAGTTCCTCTAAATTGAGAGATTATAAGAAGCATGTTGTCAGAAACGTGAAGCTTCCAAACCAAAACAGACAGAATTAAACCCACAATTGTTTAGATTTAGGTTTAAAGTAACCATATAATTTCATCAACACATTACTTCTGAGTTTTAGAGCAGCTCAGCCAGTGTATCATAGAGGATCTGTGGTGAGAGCTAGAGATAGGCTCATGGCAAGGTAACCTTACATTATAACCACTAAGAGTTGGTTCAAAATACCAGTGGAAATATGCAAAAAAAAAAAAAAAATCAACAACAAAAGAAAAAAAAACCCTCAATGCAGCAGCAATTCTAAGTAGGTTTGAGTGATATTATTCAAATAATATTTTAGCACTTATGATTGAAAAGGGTGAAAACATTTCTTTTAAAAAGTTTGAAGGCTTGTATGGATTAATGTAATGCATGCATCCTGGTCTGAGTGCATATTTGAGTTTCTAAGAGAAAGAAAAGGCCCTGCACCTGGCTTGTTTACAAGTGGTTGTTGGTGAGTGAAGTGCACACTGGCACGTTGGCATCAGGCAGTGTGATTATGCCTCTGTTGATATGCAGTAGCATTCTGCTGAAGCACTTTTTGACTGAAACATAATGACACTGGGATCACGGATTGGGAAAATGATCTGTGTATATCTGTGAGATGGAAAGTTGGGTCAGCACTTCAAAAGAAGTGGCCTTTCTCTGGCTACCGTCAGGATATTGTCTGTTTTACTTTGTGTGAGCTAAATCTATTTACAGTCCACGGAAATGCCCAGCGTGAAATAGACCCACCTTTGCCAGGTCAGACTGCAGGTGGCTTTCGTCTGTTTCTTTAACAAAGACAGTGTTATTGTTTTTATTGGGAGAAACAACACGGCTCTCAACATTGGCCGGTCAAGTGCACATCTGATTACTCAAGGGCTTTTTTTGTCTCTTTGTTATCCAAGCTGTTCCCAATGACATCCTCTGCTGTAAGCAACACCATATAAGATAGCAAACACGCCGTTAGATCAGAGCAGGCTGACAAAGACACAGGTTTGATGTTTTCTGTCTACTCAATGCTTTATGCTTTAAAAAAAAATAATAATAAAAGTGCTGCCACCACTTGATGATATCTTAGGATATCTGGTAAACACAATATAAGATGTTGGATTCCCCTGATTTGTAGTTGGACATTGCCAATGTTCTTCAGACCGGACCCGACTACCTTTAACGCAACTCACACAGCAGGATTAATTCAACGATAATTGGGCCTCTAAAAAAAAGTCGGTAGCAGGAATATGCAAAATACGATAAGGGATATCGCAACTTGCCCCTGCACCATCCGTGGGCCAGTGGCGTCACTCTCTCTCCTTTCCTCAAGGCACCACCAGGTCTCTGTGACTGGAATAGGAGTTGGGTAGCTTCAGCAGGTTGTCAAATAGGCACCCCCCTTCACTGGTGTTTCATTGATTTAAGCCCATGACACCTCGGAGGGGCTCAACGGCAGATCCAGCGTCCTGGACCCACCCCCACCGAATGCCACCCAACCCTGTCTTTAGTTCTTCATTCATTCAGTGCTTCCGTTCTTCCAGCACACCTCGCACTGTATCCAAATCCAGCGAGATGCCTCTCCACCCGCTTGGTGGTGTTGGCTACAAGCCACTTCCTGGCCAGCCCTTTCAATTCCCAGCAGTCCAAGGGCTCTCCAAAGTGACCGTCCAGCAAAGCCTCTGCAGCCCACCTCCACTGGGAGATTCCAGGTCTTCCACCCATTTTGCTGGCTCTCTAGGATGAGGGCTTGGTATTTATTGAGCTTATGCTCATAGGCCACCCCCATCCTCTCTTCCTAGGGGATAGTCAGCTCGATGAGTACCACCTGTTTGGTACCTTTAGACCACACAACAATGTCTGGTCTCAGGCTAGTGTGGGCTATCTCCTCAGGGAATTTCAGCTGCTTCTTCAGGTCTGCCCGCATCTCCCAGTCATTTGCCATAGCCAGGACCCCCTTGCCCCTCCCTTCGGCTATTCACGTTCTCCTGCCCTGGTAAAATGTATGAAACGAGGTCCTTTGGACAGGAATCAACACACCTTGCCATGTTAATCCCCCACCCCCGTTAGCGAGGGCTATGAATAATTTTGGAAAGATGTTCCAACAGAAGGATAATAAGAAACAAAACATTTTAAATTTTTTATTAAATGATCTAAAAGAATACTTTAAAACAAATCAACAAGAGATTAAAATTACTATAAAGTTATGGTAGAAAAACAAGTATATAAAAACTACATGTTTGCCTTAAAAAGTTTTCGGCAGATAATATATTATGCCCTCCAAGTTACACTGCATGTGGCACCGCTCCACTTCGCACAGCTGGGAAACTCAGCAGCAATTACAATCAATGAGATCAGTTACATGGTTTCTGCACAGCAGGGGCGAGTGGACCGCACACGGAAAAACTTGATTAGATTCCGTTTTTCTTGGACGCCGCAGCAAGACCGCAGCAAATAAATAGAAATTACCTCAGATTAACAGGAAATGGAACAATCGCAGCATCTGGACTGTGCAAATATTACTAGACAGCTATATTTGGTAAACAATAAAAAAAAGAATATTCTACATTAGGACATTTACACATACACATATACAGAGGTTGGACAATGAAACTGAAACACCTGGTTTTAGACCCCAATAATTTATTAGTATGGTGTAGGGCCTCCTTTTGCAGCCAATACAGCGTCAATTCGTCTTGGGAATGACATATAGAAGTCCTGCACAGTGGTCAGAGGGATTTTAAGCCATTCTTTTAAGCCATTCTTCTTGCAGGATAGTGGCCAGATCTGGTGACTGTGCAGACCATGGGAGATGTTCAACTTCACTTTCATGTTCATCAAACCAATTTTTCACTATTCTTTCTTGCTGTGTGTATTGGTGCCTTGTCATACTGATACACGGAACCTCCTTCAGGATACAATGTTTGAACCATTGGATGCACATGGTCCTCCAGAATGGTTCGGTAGTCCTTGGCAATGACGCGCCCATCTAGCACAAGTATGGGGCCAAGGGAATGCCATGATATGGCAGCCCAAACCATCACTGATCCACCCCCATGCCTCACTCTGGGCATGCAACAGTCTGGGTGGTACGCTTCTTTGGAGCTTCTCCACAACATAACTCTCCCCGATGTGGGGAAAACAGTAAAGGTGGACTAATCAGAGAACAATACATGTTTCACATTGTCCACAGCCCAAGATCTGCGCTCCTTACACCATTGAAATCGATGTTTGGCATTGGCACAATTTACCAAAGGTTTGGCTATAGCAGGCCAACCTTGTATATTGACCCTGTGGAGCTCCCGACGGACAGTTTTGGTGGAAACAGGAGAGTTGAGGTGCACATTTAATTCTGCCGTGATTTGGACAGCCGTAGTTTTTTTTTGTTTTGGGATACAATCCGGGTTAGCACCCGAACATCCCTTTCAGACAGCTTCCTATTGTGTCCACAATTAATCCTGTTGGATGTGGTTCGTCCTTCTTGGTGGTATGCTGACATTACCCTGGATACCGTGGCTCTTGATACATCATAAAGACTTGCTGTCTTGGCCACAGATGTGCCAGCAAGACGTGCACAAACAATTTGTCCTCTTTTGAACTCTGGTATGTCACCCATAATGTTGTGTGCATTGCAATATTTTGAGCAAAACTGTGCTCTTACCCTGCTAATTGGACCTTCACACTGTGCTTTTATTGGTTCAATGTGCAATTAATGAAGATTGGCCAACAGGCTGGTTCAATTTAGCCATGAAACCTCCCACACTAAAATGAGAGGTGTTTAATTTTTATTGTCCAACCCCTGTATATACCTACCTGTATATTAGCAACTGTGCACATTAAATCAACTAAAGGACTGCATACATCAATGTAAAACATGACAATTAATCTATTAAATATCTGAAATGACTGTTAAATTTCTGGATATTCCAAAACAAAAAGTGAAGTTGTCTAAACTGTTGTCAAATTCAGAGGAGTAGTAGTTTTGTTCGGACTCCAGGTTTTATCACTGGCTTTTATTGTGCAATCTGCACATGCTCCTTGTAGTTCCTATGGGCTTTACATTGAAGTGGAGGCAGTGTAAATAAGGAGAAAAATTGTGGGCTCTTCAGCAAATACTCATTTCGGAGAAGATCTTCCCATCGCCAACTTAAGTTTGTCAAACAGAAACAGCATTTGCAAAGCCTTTGACAAACTTGGTGTATTCATTTTTTAGTTCCTGAATATAAAACGATACCTAAACTTGGGATCACATCTAAAATTGTGAGGAATGGACAATGTTCACAATAAGTCAAGTTATGCAAAATTCACAGTTTTTTTCTCAGCATTTTAATGCTCAAAACAAGGGAAGATAGTAGGTAGACAGAAAAAAATATATATCTTTTTTATCCTCTGCCTGTCATGCAATTTAAATGCAGCTATAAACAGGGTCCGGTGAGGAATATAAAAAAAAAAGACACAAATTATTTAGGGATCAAAGGAATGAAAGCCTGATTTCAGCAGAC